CATTGTTCTAATAACGAATTAATTAACTTATAAATATAATGATTGTATTAAATTTTATTTTAATTATAGTGCATTTTAAATCTTCAAAAGAAAAAATTAAGTATCATGATCTATCAAAAAACCTGACATAGCTAAATAAAAATCTTTTAGAACCTGAAAACAGGAAATTGAACCAGTTTTTACTGAAGATGAATTTAATTCAATTCATTGGTTCGGAGTAAATGCACTTTAGTGCAGTCTTGGAGTATCAAAGCACTAACTCATATATTCTCATTTCTAAGGTACTTCCCCATCTATTCCCATTTAATAAGGTACTACCCCATCCATTCCCATTTAATCCAGGTACTCCACCATCAATTCCCATTAACCCGTACTCCCACAAATATTCCTATTTACCCAGGTACTCCCCCATCTTTTCCCATTTACCCAGCCAAAACTCTCCTATCTAACCCCATTTATTTAAGTACTCCCCCATCTCTTTCCATTTACCAAGGTATATCCCCCATCTACTCCCATTTACCCAGTTCTTCCCCATTTATTCCCATGTGCCCAGGTAGCCCAGGTTCTTGTTTTCCCAGGTCCTCCACCATCTATACCCATTTAACCAGTACCCCCCCCCCCCATTTATTCCCATTTATCCATTTACTCCCCCATATAATCCCATTTACCCATTTACTCCTCCATATAATCCCATTTACCGTTTACTCCTCCATATAATCCCATTTACCATTTACTCCCCAATATAATCCCATTTACTCATTTACTCCCTCATATATTCCCACCTACCCAGGTTTTCTCTACTTTAAAGTTCTAAAAATTATGACTGTTATCATACAAAGTTAAGATAGAAATTAGTAGAATTTATTCTTCCTGTTCTAACCAACGGCTCCAATGTTTAATGTGTCGTTTAAACTTTACTAAATATCCTTTAAATTAACTAGAAGTAAGTTATTCACTTCATAAACTAATTGTCTTTCAAATTTTGGACTTTTTTCAGGAAAAATAACTTTTTTTTTGTATTTTCAAAGCTTTCTTTGCCGATATATTTGTTACTTTAAAATTGTGAAATAAATCATAACAAAAATATGTAATTTTTCTATTTTTTATTTTAAATATTTATATTTAACAAAACGTTTCCGCGTTCCAAAATTGTTGAAATTGCAATCTCCTTTTGTTGGAAGTGTACGGAGTGTACGTGAATGAAATGAAACATTTAATTTTGTTGAATAATGAACAACTAGCTGCATTAATCTATCTAAGTGCTTCTTGTATATTTTCAAGCATGCCTGTCTTCTTATAGTTAAAGGCATAAAAAAAACATATACGAGTATGATAACGATTATCCTACACTCAATTGGTTACTTCCAGTTACAAAAAGTTTAAATTAAGGGACCAAAATTAATAAAATACAAATTAAAGAGTTTAAAATTTGGCAATATTTTAATCCTATTAAATAATTTCAAGTGACCTTTAAGGGTCACTTTGCCTAATCAAGTATGAATTATATTCTTAAATTTGTTAATCAAATTTCTGAAATCTCACATGAAATAATGCAAGAAAGTAACCAATGCCTGAAGAATCCACTTTTAGGAAATATGCATGTCCATAACTAAAATTGTAGAGAAAATTGTGAGATTTGAACTCTTCTTAACTGTCATTGGTCAATTATGTAAAAGTGACCAATAGGAAGACATTCCAAAACAAGATTTTTCCAGAATTGAATTCTAAGAAACACACACCGTAAAAGCGGATGTAGTAAAAGTGGCAAACTTAAATTAGCAAACTTTGATAAGATTATTCTTCAAGTTATTCTACTTGTTTTAAATCTAAATCTTTGCAACCTGACAACATTGCAGATCGGGTTATTTCCATCACTCGGGCCTAACCCTCATGCGCTGTTGATATATATTTGCAACCTGGCATTATTATACTACGGCTATCTCTATCATAAAGAGTAAGCCTTATACAATTATATGCTCGTGCAATTATTAACACCCAAAGTAATAAATCCATTCAATACAATGTTAACACATTTATTTACATAATTATAAACGTATACATCATATTACTTAAAGATAAACTGTTGACATAATTGTTAGTCAGAATCCCTTTATTATCAAGGTTTCCTAACTTAACGTTTAAGTGCCTTCTCAGTTAATTTACTAAGTCGGGCATGCATGACTGATATGGCCTTCAGTCCGTCAATCAGTTTAATATCTTTATTATTACAGGTTCGCTGGTCAACCCGCTCCTGTAATATCTGGAGCAGATCCCAAACCTGGTTAAACAGCCTGCTACTGATCTCATCTATACTTGGATCAGGGTGCAGTCTGTATTCTTGCTCCCAAGTCTTTCATGTGTCCCAAACATCAACTTGTGGGACATCAGCAGACTGGAGGGAGCTCATGTTCTCCAGGATGGAAGACAGGATATCCATAATCTCCTTTATGAGTTCCTTGGCCTCTGCATCACGCTTCTCCAACTTCTCCAGGATATCATCCACGTTCTCATCCTCATCATTATCCTCTACTGCATCCTCAGCTACGTTCTCATCCTCCGAGACTGGGACTGTGACAATGGAGGAGTCTCCACTGATAAGAGGAATGATATTAGCTGGAACAACTTCATCTCCATCCGGCTCCACTTCCTCAATATATGCGGGGTTCCGCACAATAACAGGAACCCTGTTCCTCTTCTCCTACTGTAATCTCATCTGGAAAGATTCCCTCTGTATGCTGTCTGTGCGCTGTATATAGCACAGGTCCCGGAGCGGTAATGTACAGGCGACTTGTGTCTACTGCTACGGCTCGGGATGTACTGACCTCTGGCATCCCGTTGAATTCAAGGGACTGTTCACTCATTTTAAGAACAATCCGAAATACAACACGGAATAGGGCAATTTTGCGCGAAATGACTTTTGCGAATGATTGCGCAATTGTTGTTTTTTCGCACAAAACAAAGAAAGAAAAATTTTGTGTTTTGTTCCGCAAAACTTGCGCAAAAAAATTGCGAATGGAAACCCTGGGCATTGCGTTATTGTAAACGTTGATTTTCTATTTAAAAAGCTAATTCACAACGGTACTCTTTAAAACGTCTGGCAGAAATATATCCTTGTTTTCTAGTTTAACCATATAAAGGGGTGGGGAGTCTGAATCTATGTATAGCCTGGGGGTGGGGCGTTCGGCGCCCCCCTAGAAAAAGGCCTTAGAGAATAGCCTAATTTTTGATGGCCAGCTCAAAGAAAAAAATTATACCGATTACTTTAATAGTTTGGGTGCTAGGGAGGGTGGAAAAAATGCCTAAAAAAGGGTCAAAAAGATAAAAAAAATATTTTTTTGTTTTGAACAAATATCAAAGTGTGACACATGTTTCTACATTCATTTTTCAAGGGCTTTTCAAAAAAATAGTTTTTAGATCTGTAGCTTTAATCACAAAAAAGTTAGATTTTGTTTCACAGACCGGACTTTTTTCCGCCCTGTACCCTACCCTTGGAATTAAAAAAAAAAAATTTAGCAAAAAATCCTTTAGATTACTGTTCATTAAAAGTCCCAAAATTTCACGGTGATAGTGTCAAAAACCTACAGCGGGGAGCACCAAAAGCCCCCTCCCCTTAGCCTGTTATTAAGGACAGATATTGACAGTATTATCACTGGTATCTAAATAAAGGATTATAGGGTATCGTTAAAAATATACTATTTAAGAAGATTTTATAAAAAATTTAAGGAAATAAAGTATAGTGGTCGTATCAATACAATGAAGACGACTTTTGTATTTAAGTTTTGATTTCTCACAAACTCTTTTCAAATTACAAGTTTACAAGTAAACAAATAGAAGCTGTTGAATGAAAATTTTTCTTTGTTTCCATAATATTTGTGCTAAGTAGAATTCAAACATTTAAATCGAAAGTAGTCTTCATTTGTACGACCATGACTGTATAATATGGTTTCTTTTATGTCTTTTGAGTAACATCTTAAAGTGATCAAGTGCCATCGATTTAGAAAAATTTAAATAAAAAATGGATTTAAAGTAACTGTAAGTGATATTTCTAATCGCTCTCCATGCAAAAATCACAATGCACAATTAGCAACAGTGCCCTTAAATGCTTTTTCTGATTAAGAATAAACTAGGTATTCATACATTTAAAACTATTTACTTTCATAAACAGTGACTAAAGCATTTCTAGTGCAGGAAAGCATAAATGATTTATCAGGCTATATCTTCCATTTATCACAGTCCCTTCAAAGTGAAGTAACTTTCAGTTGAAACAATTCTAGATTTAGGATTGTTTTGTGTAGAAACAAATCTTGAGTAAATCATCTTCAAATTGCAAAAAGATTAAATAAAGTGTTTGAGGATAATGTTTCAATTTACAGGATATCTTTATTGTTGTCTTCTACAAGATAAAACATTGGAATTTTTTTAAAAACAAATTGTCAGGAGAAGGATCATTTATATCTCAGGTTTTATGAAATTGTTGACCCAAAACTTGTGTCAGATTATATTATGGAGTTTTACAATCCTCAAGTTTGTGATTGAGTTTTGATCAGAATGCACATTGCAGAATAATAATGCAAAGTATTTTCAGTAATTTGCATTCTATTGCATAAATATCAAATATTAACTTCATTGAAAACAATTATTTGACACTGATTATTTAAAGGAATTGAGTCTTTGTCTCAAAGTTTGATTTACTTATCCCTAAATTTATTTAATCCAATGTCGTAGACCGTACTTAATTAAAACTAAGAATTATATTATATCAATTAGTCTAAGATTGAAATATCAAGTTTGTGGCAATGACTCAATTCCTAGAATAGAATAATTTAATATAGATATAGAATATATAGAATAGAATGTAATAGCAAAAAATGTTGAATAAACAAAATTCGGTTTTAAAATTATTATTAGCAAAACTTCCCAACTCTTGACTAAAAAGAAAATGGTAACTAAAAACTGAAAAAAATGTCTGAAATGTCTTTAAATATAGAAATGTTGCAAACCTTAATTTGTGTATATTTGCAGATTCCATATTTTATTCCTAAAATGCAAAAATATATTTTATTTAAGATTATTCAATCTTCAAATCTAGCACTTTTTATCATAATATTTCCCTCACATCATATACAAGGAGAAAATTGAATACTTAGATCCTACAGGGTGTCCAAATTAAAAATAGGGCCAAGTGGTTTCACAACTATGGTTTCCAGCAAGAAGGGGAAATTGTATTGCGAAAATTTCGCATTTTTCTTGAAAAAACTAATTTCAGCCAAAATTTTGCTTTTCTCATTTTGTTCGCTTGCGAAAAATGCAAAAATTTGCGATAAAAAATTGGGAAAACTTTTTGCGAAGTTTTCATCAAACATTTTCCTAAGTAAAGGAACAGAAATTATTAAGTATTATAAAGGACGTGAGTCAGACTGTAATGAAAACGCATAAAATACTTCCAGTATATTTATTTCTTATAACTTATTACTAGAGGGTTCAGAACTAGAGTAAATATCGATATCACACGTGGGATTTGTTTAACGCGGCCAGGCATCGTCTTCCACAGTGTAATAAAATAAAACTTCTATTGCTGATATCTCAGAGTTGTTTTTTTTCAGCAATTGATTGTTGCACCTAGAACACGTGTGATTACGATTTTTTTTCGCGAAACATCGCATAGTTTTCGGATTTTTTCGCCTATTTCATAATCGCTAAAAAATGCATATTTAAATTTTTTTACACTCATAAAGATGGAATATTTATGGCAGAGAACAATTAGATAAATAAAAAACTTTAAAATTTAAAATTAAAAACCTATTTTCAATACCAAAATGGCACACAAACAATTTGCTTCAACATTCAGATAGGATCTAGTATGACTGACAAATAGAATAGCCAAGGTGTATATTGGTGAACTTCATACAATATATACTGTTTATAAACATGAACCAGTTCTTGATTTGTACACTGTTAGAAATGCCATTTTGTAAATTTTCAATATCATCATATTTCAAGCCAATAAAACCAGTATATAGAAGACATTCATTGATATATCGTTTAAAATTTGATGTTTTCTGGTCAGAATGATTTTACTTGAATTAGTCTAAATACTAATTGATATAAGTACAATTAGAATCACATCAATTTTTTTCCCCCGGAAAATAGATTAAGCAGAATTAAACTTGCATCAATAAAGACGATTTGTTAATTCAAACAGAATTCTGATTGATATCAACAAAGCGCGTGCGTAAAATTCCCAGTTTTCGGATTTTCCAGTTTAATCAAAACCTGGCGCGAAGATGGACATTTTACCGGTTATTTTAAAAACGAAATCAAAGTTATAGTCTAAAAAATAACTAGTAAACATTTGAATGTGAATGCATATAATTTGTAGATATTAAAAGGTCGGAAATTTCAAGAATTGTTTATGTCTGGAGTGGCAAATTCAACCTTTAAATTATAAATATCTTAAAAGAAGGTCTTTTAGTCGAGCCCGAGATCTCGACATCCATTAATTAATTAATTAATTTTATCCTATAATACTTCATTACTGGGAAAGAATTTTTGAACCCCTGCCTCCTCCTTTCATTTTTAACCATGCATGCTGCTCACGTAACACATGGACATAATTGGTCATGTGCCCCCCTAGCCTATCTTAGCCGCGGCGCTTGGCCCATAGCCTAGGTCCTAGTCCCAGCGCTCGGCCCCCTAGCCTGTTCTAGTTGCAGCGCTCGGCCCTGAAATTGACTTTACCTAACCTAACCCTCAAAAAATATAAATAAACAGCTGTCGTTGGTCCGATATTGCAGTATAGGTCAGAAGATCAGTAAGGGGATATATTGCATATAGACGAGCATTTCTTTACCTTAGACCATGGTGCACACTGCACCCCCACCCCACCCCACAACTATGGTCTACTTCTACTAGGTTATTTGACCGATTTAATCCAGTACCCCCCCCCCCCCCCCCCCC